AAAAATAAAAAAACACACATTCCTATGAGAATCTTGAACTCCTGCACATGGGTTCAAGCCTCAAAGGATCATTTTTTGAGGTTGTTGTTTGCAGCTCAACAGAAGAGTGCACCCTTCAATGGACAGCTTTTTTGGATTTTACAGAGTAAAATTTCAAGATATCAATAGATGTGGAGGGGCATAGTTTCCTTTTTCCACGCCCTGTATGCATGGATGGACCCCTTTACAGCTGCTTAATATAAGTCACTTCACTTATTAGAAAACCGTAGGAGGTCAGAATCACTGTGAAACAGGTAGGACCCAAATTTGAATGTGAACATGTAATTGTATGCCAAGATCAGAGTTTGAACCCATGGCCATAGGATACTACATAATACTATTTAAATTATAATTTGTCAAAAAAAGATGTTAAAATCTGAATTTCAGAGGAAAAAAATTCAAATTGATACCATAATAAAAATCTTAAGAGGGTATAGAGTGTTAGTTTCATATTACAATTATCGGGTAGGCGGGGAAATTAGAATATAGGATATATTACCTACTCAGATACAATAATAAATTGTTGACCACTAGCTCATCTACAAGCTTAACTTGTTACTGATAGAGAGAGGAGTAATTTATAATTTATATATTCAACAATACCATTTAAATAGACCCCACTAATATACCAGAATTATTATTATTAAAATAAAAGGGAAGGATGCTACAACGGTGTCACACTATACACAGGCAATAGAAAATAAACAAAAAGAAAACCCAAAACACAAAATAGTATATACACTCCCCCCAAAATGTATGAATATATGTAGAATTGAATACAGTCAAATTTTTATTGGATTTCTTTGTTTTAGAATTGCATTTAAACTAACAGGTCTATGCTAGTTTTAATTCACAATTGGTTTTACTGAAATTGGCTTCTCAGATAAGGAGAAACTGAATTTTTAGCAGAAGCTAACATTTCAATACTTATTTAATTGGAACTCTCTCATCCAAAAACATTTTTGCTTGAAATGAATTGGGTTAGAAACTAGACTATTAAACAATTATTTCTGGAATGTTTCATAATTTTTAGACTCTTAGATTAGGAGTTATGATTTTTCAAAGTTAGGATTCTGCGCAGCATGAATCTATCCTGTAAGATAAGTAGTGAAAATTTGTGAATTGGATGGACTTAGGACATGACCCTTGATGCATGAGACCTAAAACCATTGTTTACATGTTGACAGGATTGCTAGGAGCCTTGTCGGTAGATGAGTTGGGATGCAATAATGCAAATCTAAACTTATGGCTCATCACCTAATAACCTAATTAAACAAGGATTCATAGTAAAATTGCTTAGTAATAGTGTTTCATGATTATTTGGTTTAGGTTAGCTACACATCGCTTTCTTGCTTCTCGTGCTTATGTACTTTTGGACACCAACTAAGCAATTTTACATTTCATGTATTTTTCATTTAAATTTCTCATTTTCCCACAAATTGTTTTCAAGAGTACCTCACATGTAATATAATTGTTTTCCTTATCTCGTGGTGATATTTCATGACTCATATATGCATGGATAAAAGTCCAAGAGATATTCCAATGGGTGACTTTGATCGCTATGGGATTGCTCCTAGTATCTCATCTCAACGGTTGAACGATTATCTAGTGGGGTATGTCAACCATATCGGCTTAGGGAATAAATAGGGGCACTACCTCGATGATGCCTCTAAATGCAATATGTGTGGATCCATGAGTTGTAGAAGCCATGAGTTAAACATGGTCTAGCAAAACCTTTATTTATATTATTGTTGATAACTACCACCATTGAGAGATGATATACAGCTAAATGACACATGAGATTTTTGAGATACATGATATTTTGCATTGGCACATGCTTTACCATACACTGTTTTGAGACATGATTTATGAAGTTACACGAAACATGGTTTATACAATAATATAGTGTACTCCTTTATTTTGAAGATATATACAGTAGATATTTATTCTTATTCATTGATTGCAAATTGGTATATTACTAAGCATGCTTTATTATTCACTGGGTTAGGAGCTCATTCCATTATATCACTTATTGGGGAAATAATAATAATAACAATAATAAAACTAATTCCATTATTAACATTTTTCACGTGAGCAACTGAGGGCTAGACAACTATGGCGTGGACAAGAACTTCTATTTCTATTATGATCTCTATTAGGATGTTGAGTCATTCTTGTGCTTTTGGTTAGCTAGATAGTGGGTGGTTACCTTGAAACATCTGAAATTTTAATATGTCAAGATTTGTTTTACTAGTTGTTGGATTTTGTGCATGGGTTGTTTGTGTCCCATATCTATTGTCCAACCAATGAATACTCTCAACAATCCCTTGAGTAAACTCTTCATAAGAATGACCAATAGTAGATTTCAGTGAGTGATCTAGCATACTAGCTCAAGGGAAGATTAGACTTTGCTGTTACACAAACATATTCCATCTTGACAAAAAAAGTTTCCAACACCCTAACATAGACGACCTCAGATATTGAGCTGTTGGTTAACTAAAGTTTACGCATTGGTAAGTTAAAATGACCCAAGATTTGAGTCTATTGTAATCACAGGATTAAAAAATCCTTGCATTGGGCAGTATAAGATTCACACAATGTTGCCAATAATTTTAACATGATATGATTCTCCATCAATGTATTCCAAACATAATGACATATTAAGTCTTCTCCTTCAATAGTTGAGATATATCAGCCTATCATGTAGGGGTAATCATAGCGCAGTTATCCCGTGATAGATGGCCCACTTTTATTATGAAATCTTCAAAATAGGTTAAATACCCGTGTCAGACACTGGAGACACTTAGACAAGGGTGTGAGATAGCCCATTTTTATCATGGACACTTATATATTTGTATTAAAACTATCACGCCATGTATACATGGTTTAATAATTGCTAGAAAAAGAATAAAATACATTTTATTGTATGTTATATGGAACACCATTTTATCTCACATAACAAATTAAAAATATAAAAATATGATAGTTTTTTGCCGAGTCCTCGTACCCTTAAATTTGAGGTTTGATTGGTCCAACCTCTAGATACATACTTGTACCCGCACCCGCACCCATACCCAAGTCCATGTTTACATGTAACATAGCTTATGATTTATATCTCTTATAAGTGAATCTCATTCACAAACATAAACCATATTTAATGTAGCTTAGGACTGAAGTCGCTAAACTATTCATCTCATGAATCATGCCCATTTTATGAATACAAACATTTCAAAATAAATAGATAAATAATATTTCATTTCTACTAAAAAATTAGAAATTCATTGGTTTTATGGCTTACTTCCTAGCATGAGTCATTCAAATCAAATAAATAAATTAGAAAAACTTAATCTCATTAATGGGCATAGTATGATTATGGACTTTATTTCAATTCAATTTGAGCCATAAAATTAAATCTAGATCAATGAGAGAGTCAATATTAATCACATCACTAGTCTTTATGGACTTTATTTCAATTCCATTTGAGTCATAAAGTCAAATCTAAATCAATTAGAGAGTCAACATTAATCACATCGCTTGTCTTGCAATCTTGGGCTTGATCTCTAATGGACCCTATTCATGCCCAGCCCCACCATGTTTTCATACAAGCCCTCAAATTTGTCTACAATCCTACTAAACTAGCATTATTTCTTATGCACTACATTAATGAAAAGAAACTTGATATGAGGCCTACAAGAGTTACAATAGAACAGAGATAGAAGATAACATCAAGGATGGCAGGACGCATGCAAGCCCTATTTAAGATTACGTAACTGAAAACTAAATTGGTAAGTTTGATGGTGAGCAAGGGGAAATGTTTACTGATGTAGGTCGCTACCAACGATTGGTTGGAAAATTGATTTATCATTGTTACTTGCCCAAAGATTACTCATATTGTTAGTGTGGTTAGCCAATATATGCATGCTCCTTGTTGCCCTCATTTTGAGTGGTTTGTTGTATCTTGCATTACCTATGGAGTACACCTAGACGCCGATTGCTATATCGGCATAGTACTTTTGCACACCACACTTTATCTCTGTACACATCATTTGTGCCCATTTGGATATCAACTTCTGAACAAAGATGAACTATTCAAATATCAATTTTTGAACAAAATCCAATTGTTCAAACAAAACTCTTGTTCAATAGTTGATATTCGAACAATTAAATTTTGTTCAAAAGTTGATATTCGAACAATTAATTTTTGTTGAAAAGTTGACATTCAAACATTTGTTATTTGCTCAGAAGTTGATATCTGAACAACACAAATGGTGTACTGAGAGAAAGTGTGGTCTGCAAATAGAATTACCCCAAACCACGACATAAGAAGACTCCTCAGTGACATTCACATCAATATGCTGAATCCAATTTGTAGGACCCAAATTCTTCCCCACTGAGGGGAATTGATGCAATTGAAATTACATACCAATTTCAAATTAGGAAAAATGGATGCTCCATTTCAAAAAAAAAAGGAGGATATAAAGGGGCTGGTTAGATCTTGATTTTATTTAATTAAATGTAGAGCCATATAGGATTATGGCCTTACTTTTTCTTTTTCTTGTTTTTAGGGGTTTAATGGGTATATTTTAGCAGCATGGGTTTTCTATAGTCAATGTAGTTTCTGTAATTCTCAAATCTAAAAAAAAAAACAAATACTCGGTATATTAATAATCAAGCGCACTGTGAATTCACCACCTCACGTGCTTCATATGTAAAGAATTATGCAGAGCCCATTTTCCTACATAGTTTGATACAACTAAATTGAGCCAACATACCGCTTTGAAATCATACTTGCTCCAGGAGGAGAGATGCAACACTCTTCATTTGAAGTCGCGGTTGAGACATGTTAGCACATTTATTAGCCAAAACAGAAAACAAAAACAGAAACAATACGAGATTTGCACAATTGTCCAACTCCAACGTTCATTCCACCATACCAAGCATACAACGTACAATTTCAACAATTAATTTAGAACAACACAGCATACACCTTGCAATAAATGTCAAAATACTCCCAAGAGTAACTAACATAGAACTTGTCACAACATTTGGTTTTTGAAACAATTGATGCAAATTCTAATGATACAGACGACAGGATCTAAAGAAGGCATTTATTTTAGCTGGTATTTTAGTGTCAGAATTTTGTTTGTTGCCCGTCTCTTGTATATTTTTTAAAAAGCTAACCTATCCAGACAAAGCATGATTATTGTACAAGCAGCAATAATCATGTGAAGGACTAAGTGAAAATTGAAGCTCAAGAACAAATTAACTGATCCCCTACCTGATGCAGACTTAAATTTGTTGTTTGATCCATTTTTCTACATACATATACATAATGAGAATCCGGATCTTCCAAAACAAATCCAGCAGGAAGTAGGCCCTTTTCAGTGGTAGGTGTAGGTTCCAAGAACGATTTTGTAGAAGTAGAACCAGGTGGCCTCTGAAATCCTGGCCTAGCTGCAAAACAAAAGGATACAATGCTACAATGTTAAAAGCACTTTTCTTGTGATAAATATGAAAAAAATTAAAAATAAAAAAAGCCCAGAAGTTTCAACATGAGGTGTACCCAGATAAGTCCATACATCTTAGGCCAGGATGATCATGGCATCCCAAAATCTGTGGTTGAAAATTAATATTGAGATCCCATGAACAATACAGGGCAATGACATGACATCAACATTCCTCAGTCAAGTTCATGCACATTGATGACCTTTATCTTAGGATGTACATAGGTGCCAACTTGCTCAACGCCAAATAACTAAACAAAAATGCTTTGATGTTGCCTTTGATATAAAAGTCAATTTGCGACCTTTTTTGAAGAAAGAAAAGAAAAAACACACACACACACAGACAGAGAGATGGCATTCTTTTGTTTTATGAAATTTTAACTAGTAAGAAGTATCCAACTAATGCAAACCAGACTGTCACAGATACATGATTTAGGGTATCTATCAGGGCGTATAGAGACACCAGTGAAAATATACTTCAATTAGAAAACACCAGTGAAAACGTATCTTTTAAGGAAGCAGAATATTATATTCAAAATCATAGACGATAACAATTTAAGTGCCTAACTTAAAGAGCAAGAGATCATGTTATTGATGTTGCTGGTAACCAATAGGAGGAGCAGAAGTCAAACGAAATAATGCATGAGAATCATTTGAACATGCATGATGGAATAAAGATCTAATTCAACCAGTATAGCATCCATTCATGTAAGATGGAAAAATGAACCAAAATAATAATAACAATGTAAAACTTCAAGACAGCAGTATCAGAAATAGACCAAAACAAAAGCCATTATATGAGTAAGGTTCAGCATTCAGTAAGTACCAATGTGCTAGGACTCTGAATGAAACTGCTACAACACTAGGTTAAAGAATATGAAATTTTATAGGTTTTTTATTATCATTTTTCTAAGATATGCTCTTTTGATTTTTCAAAGTTTAACCCTTTGGAGTTCTATCATTAGTTACCACTAAATTTATCATGGGAATTTCCCTTAGACAGCCCAGTCAACAAGCATATGTGCTAGACTACAAGTGAGAAAGAACACACATGTTTTTCTTATCAGGTAATATACAAAAACTAATCTGTTTCTTGGGCATACATGAAATACATTCCAAAATGAAGTTTGCTACAACACAACTAACTCAAAAAGTTCTTCCGGTGAGGGTAAAAAAATTGCGTTTCAATATGGGAAAAAAATAAAAAAGAACTATAACAAACCCATGATTTCATATCATACGAAGAATCCAAAAATCACTTCCAAATTACACAATTCTCATAATAAAAAATATGTGATAAGCAACTAACTCAAACCAAAATATTTGCAAATTAAAAAACATTGAAGTTATGGGTTCAAGTCTCAAGGCGGTCATTTTGTGCACTATGCCAAAGGTTAGGTGTGTACCCAATCTTTCCCCTCCCAAACACACATTAATATGTACTAATTGGGCGTTGTTTTTAGACTTGACAAGTATATAGAAGAATAAAGTTCATGAAGAAATGCTATAGATGGGTGCCAAATAGTACCGTGAATTACAAAATGACAAGGGATTGCAATTAAGATTTTTGAAAGTTATCCTACTATGCCTACTTTAAATGCTAGCATGAAAACTTGGTAAAGCTGCCCACAATTGGATTCCAAGTAGGTTTATGGCAAAGAAAAATTCCAGGATTAGGGTTACTTATATGTAGAAGAAAGTTTCTAGAGTTCACAGATATATATATATATATAAAATAAAATAATTCAGAAGAGACTTATTGCTGGATTTTCAGGAAAGCTGACGAAATTTTGCAAACAGTGGTCACTTTCAGGGTTTTTATGCTTGGTTTAGGTTTAATTGGTAACGGTATTAGGGACGAAATTAGGATGATATTGGGATGAACAATAAAACAATACTCTCAGTGTTCTGCAAATAAAATTCAAATAAGCATAACCAATACCACAAGGTTGGTTAAATAAAGCATCATATAATGATCAAGAAGTTTCAACACAAATTTTGAAAATCCAGTCTGTTTAGATAAAATCATTGTACAGAAAACTCAGAAATTTTGACTAATTGGCATACTTTAGACCTAATCCCATATACGAGTGAAAAACATGATCTGTACAAACCATGAAGCAAAAGCATAGCCCTTGTCCATAAAACCTTAAAATTGTCAAAATATCCTTAACTACTAAAATTTTATGAGGTATAAATAAATATACCCATCAGCGTACTATTTTATAAATTCACAAAATTGAGACTAAAATTAAACACAATTATCCAATGACCAAGGCATGCAGCTTGCTTCACTTAGTTGCCATTTTCTCTTCCCATACTTGAAATCACAATTGATTCTCATCAAAGGCATCTGACATTATGAGGGGGAACCAAGCTCCAATTCTAAGACATAAAACGAAACAAATCCATGAGGATAGGCCTAAAACCTCAAATTTTCTGCACATACCTTCACAAAATGCATGCAAACATTAACCTTACTGACTCCAAACAATTTAGACACGGTTAAGAACATTGGTTTTGCATTCAAAACTGAAATTGCGGAAAATAAAGATCAAATGAAAACCCTAGCTTTCAGAAATCTATGGAACCATTATTAGTTCCAGATTCCAATTGAGTTTGACCAATCACATTGATACTTAAAATATGATCATCAACCCACATCCAAGGGCTAGCTGAACCACCTTGGAGGCTCTAGGGGAATGAAAACAATTGAAATCATGCATGGAAATCATTCAAGGAGTAAATGAAATTAAACTCCAATCTTTTGAAAATCATTCAAAGCATTCTAGGATTTCACAAAACCGTAGATTACAAACTGATTTTGTGCAAAACCAACATGGATGAACCTCTAAGGGTGAAACTTCAAAAACTTGAGTTTAAGGAAATTCAAGAACTCTACTCGAATTATAGAAGAATAGAGATTTGATTCAAAACCTTTTCAATCAATTCCAGCCATGTTCAACAAGAAGGGGGATCTATGTTTGATGATAAAAAAGTTAGAGATCCTCCATGTACGAACCAAACCATTCATGACAAATGAACTTGAACAAATTCAACTAGTGTTTCTATTTCTTGATATGTCTGAACCATTGTTGTCAAATCGTGAATCGTTTTGCTAAAATAGTGAATCATGAATCGTAAGATTTATTTTATTTAATATGATATATAATTCTATATATTTATATACATGTAAAATACATACAATATTTAAAATAAAGTAAATCATCAATATGACTAAATCATATATATGTATATACATATAAACTATGTTATCAGAATTTTACGATTCGCAATTCGATTCATGATTCACTTTGTAATTTTTGCAAAATCGATACGAATCTATGAGTGAATCTATTTTGAAAGTAAATCTCGAGTGAATCGCACGATTCGCAATCGATTCACGATTCGATCCACTTTTTACGATTCATGCAATTTTTGAAATTACTGTGTCTGACATATTTTCAATTCTTTTTTTCTCTATCTTTTTAGTAAAAATGACATTATACAATTTCTAATAGCGTTTAATATCAAAATAACAAACATATATACATGATTTGTTTTTATTTTAGTGTTCATGGAGTTTTTAATAGGATCCAATCAGACACAACATATTTTTAACCTTTCTTATCATCTTTTCTCCTTTTAAAAAATCATAATATATCTTCTAAAGATGTTTAAGATTAAAGTTACACTATGAATTATCCATTACTATTTTATTAAATTGAATATAATTGAATATTACATATGTGAGGTCATTATACCTACCTTTTAAAATACTTTAGGCTTTAAAATAAAAGATTCTAAATAATTCTTTTTTATTATTTGCTCACTGTTACTTAGAAAAGTATGTATGCTTATTGTCCAAATATCAATATCACTGTTAATTATTGTTACTTTGGAAATTGATAGGTTGTCTATTTGGTTATAATCTTTATTAAGGCCTCGTTTGAAAACAGGCTAATTTAGTAACTTTTTGACTATTTGGCTAAAACATGAGCTAAAAAAAAACTAGTATGTTTGGGATGACTTTTTGGCTTTTTACGAAAAGATGTGCAAAAAATAGAGAGAAAAGAGAATCTTTGACTTTTTAGTATAGGTTGTTGGCTTTTTGGCTAATTTAGTAACTTTTTGACTTTTTGACTAAAAGGGAGGGTTCCCAAACGAGGCCTAAGGTTGATAAGAAATATCTAAAAATGAAAAAAGGTAAGACGGTAATCTTATATAGGCATCTTTGTTAACTTCTTACCTATTAAACTACGTGATTATCATTCAAAATAACATTTTTATTGATTTAAGTCTAAATATTTCATATTCAACAGACATATTTAACATTTAAATGTGTAGATATATGTTTTTAAGTAATTTAGAAAAGTGGTTGAATCTTTACAATTCACAATTCGATTCAATTCGCAATTCGGTACGAAGCCATTTCGATTCATGATACGAATCTCAATTTGATAACTATGCATATAAATCAAGAGATATGAATCTCCTTAATTTGACTAAACAAATGGTCGTTGATCGAGTGGAGAAAAAGGATTCATGTAGCCGACCTTAATTGATAGGACTTAAGACTTGGTTTGGTTTGGTTATATACATATAAATCACATATATCAATATAACTAATTAATCTCTTCTATATATCTTCATAGTTTGGCGAAAATGACATTGTTTCATGTATTATGAAAACAAAAATAAAAATATAACTAAATCGTAGTGAATCATAAATTGAATAATTCACTCAATTTTCGATTCAACACAATGATTCGAATCGTTTTTGTTGAAACTCGTATCAATTCGTATGAATCGAATTGTGAATCATACGATTCTAACCACCATGGTGTGAACAACTAGGACCATCTAACATCTATTACACATACATGTAATCATGAAAAGAACATAAAAAAAATGCTCTATACATTTGTGGCCAAACCATGGACAGCCGTG